GGGTCCTTCAGATTTTGACCCATACCAACCTGTTCTTTTTTTTGCATTTCCATCACTGCCAGACTTTGCTCCGTGGATATCAATCTCCTCCACGCCTCCTTGCGATCCGGTACCTGCCAAGGGAAACATCAAGAAACCTCCACCACTCCACAGCGAGGCTGGTGCCATGTCAGCTGCCCAGGAGAAGCCTTAAAGACATCTGAGACTGCTGAGCTCTGAAGCTTCCAAAGTTGCACAGGACAAGCGGCGTGGAGAAGCCATTCCAGCCGCTGAAGCATGCTCCTGTCAGTTGACAGACCCAGTCCACCCAACACGACTTTTTTTCCGCAGTTCGAGGAACAAAAGACCCCCGTTCGCGACTCAACAGCCAAGTTCTGACACTTCAACTCTACCACTTCGTTTAAAAATAAGTAAAACGCCAAGTCGTGAGTCATACGAGATGGCCATTGCTGTGTTGTGCCTCGCTCACGGGACTCTCCGGAGATTGCCTCACATGTCAGCTGTGGGAGACTGCAGAGCTATTTTCCTTCCCGCAATCAAATGGATTCACAAACTAGAAAGTGGTCAATCTGAATCAATCTTGCCTCTGTTTAACGTTCCTCCACCTCAAAAACCGTCAAACGTTGCAGCCCTCTGAGTACAGCTACAAGCGCTTGCGCGGGATGGGCGACAGCAGCGAGAGGGTTCCATTTGGCGCCCTGGAGGATTGGAAGCTGTGCAGGTTCTCGCGAGCCTCCCGGGCAAACCCTTCAGGCCAATGGGACACAAGTGGAGTCCAAAATCCCACACCTCACTAAAGGCCCCGAGCAGGTGAAGGGCAGGGAACGTAGATACAACACAAACCCAAGATGGACTCGATTTGACTTTGGGATTCGTATCCACCTGCTCCAATTTTGGGTGCTCCCTTTGCATTCGGCATTCAGTCATTCCCACATATCAAAGTCTGTTGACTGGAAAAGCAAGCTCTGGGACGCTCATGCTTCATTGGAAAATCCGAGGCCCTGTCAGATGGAGAAGAAGCTGATGGACTTGAAGCGTCCGTTTGGGGCGAAGGTGGAGGTGTGAAGGCCTAGCAGTTCTGGCACCCATGGTGAGAGCAGCCCAAAAGAAAAAAGACAATGAAGGAAAGAAAGCAATGACTGCATTCTGTTCATTTATGTATGTTCACCAGTTCTACATCAATGAAAATTCTACAGCACCTTGGATGTCTGCTGCTGACTCACAGCCAAATAGTTTTGACCCACAACCACATCGCTGTCTCACTGAGCTCCCTCCAATCTAAGCATTGGACAATTAAACCTTCGGTGCCCCTGGTCAGGGAGACGGTGACTCTGTACTTCGATAGAAGCCAAGAAGTCAAAGCCGACTTTGAATGCTGCCAGTGGTTTGTCAAATCAATTGGTCCCCCAACAAGTACCAATATCTGATCTGACAACAGCCAGTCACATGCCTCGAATTGGGAGAGATATGGCGCTTGCATCCGCCCTGGGAAATCAAAGAAACATCTCCGTGGAAGTTGGAAGAGAATGCAGGTCTGCCCTCCAAAGCAGGCTACATCAATGTCACGGCACCTTCGGCAAAAATGCACAAGATTCTCCAAATTCCAGAGCCTTGGGCAATCCATCACGTCCAACCAGCCCGGCATGCTCCTCCTGCAAGCTACTCCATGGTGTCCAATCAGTCTCATGGTCGGCTCACGGTCGGCCCCAAATCGCTCCATCGATGTCTGCCGATGTCCCTCGCTCCTTGTGCAGGTCCATCACAGCTCTCGCAGGGTTCAGTGCTGAAGAGCTCCTTTGTGAAGCAAACGGGTGGGGAACGACCCACGTGCCATGTTTCTGTCTGTCAAGGAGCTTGTAATGAACGTTCCCTGGGAAGACTTTGATGCACCTGGAGGAGGTGCAAAGCACATGACGGAAACGTTGGGAAGAGCACAAACCTTGACGTCTCCAAGGAGACGACCTGTACGCGTCCAGGTCATACCCAGTGCTCCATTCAATCACCTAAAGCCCAAGGGGGTAGGCCGCTAGAGGTGAGGTAGGGTAGCTAGGGAGTCGCTAGTAGCTACCAGATGCTACCAGTATGGACGCAGGAGAGCTGGCGCTAATGATTTAAGTTCCTAGGTCTTTATATAGGGAAACTTAAGGTTGACACGACTCACTGTTGCTTTCTCATACTCGCCTCTAGTCTCTAGTCTCCACCCATTTGGGGCCACCAAAACCACAGTAGGAGTACCTTGCTGGTGGTCCATCCTGGGATTTTCACCCACGGCCCCTGCCGGACCTTTCATCACTTCTATCCAAGCAGCGCGTCGATCCTGCGTCCGCGGTGATGGAGAGCGCGGTGAGGGGGACCGTGCAGCTCGGGGCGACCGATTCCTCCGGGGCGAAGGGGAACGTGGAGAAGGCGGAGAGCAGTCACCTCCAGATTGAAAGCACACAGAATATCTCGAGTCTCCAGGATGAAAGTCCAGAAAGTTGTGAAAATGTGTGTAAGAAGTTTCCGAGAACACAAGCTCCAGCATCCACCTGCCTACTGAGACCCACGGAGGAAGGGGCACCTTGGCTGAAATGCTTCAAATGTTGCGAGGGCAAAAGATCAAAGAGTCAGTACGCAAACACTTTGTGCAAAAAGACTGCATGCACTAGGATCCCAACGCTGCCCCTGTCCACTGAAGGGAACCTCCAAGTCACAATCGTAGAGACTTCCTACATACATACTCTATTGCTCGGATCTGTTCCACCCAGCTTTCAGTAACCTGCCTGCGACGGAGGGGCCGGCCGCTCGGAGTAAACAAGTCCTAGCAAGGTCACTTGATGCATAGATCTATGGATGTCAGCAAGATCCTGAGCTCCGCCTTGTCTCCTGGCTCAGGAGAGTCAGCAGGAATGCTCCTTAGGCAATGACCAAGAAGTTGAGCATTTGACATTTCGAACTCCACCAGACCAAGAATCCTCGGACTTCCGCCAGACCAAGCCTTGCAAAGACGTCAACTTCGGTGCCACCTTCAAACCCTCGTGCCAACGCACCGCAGAGCCTGCTGCCGGGGAGACAACGCAGCACCCACCCCACTCTCATGGCCTGGCTCCTAGCATTTCACTGGTTGGGACACAGCGGGCTCAGGGTCATCCAACCGTGTCCTGAATTCGCTTCTTTCGAGAACCCAAGACCTGACCAATCGCATTCTCCTGGCGAAGGAAGACCAACAGCAGAAGAGTTTTTGATTTCATCTGAGCAGAAGACAAGACTTCACTAAGTATTGGATCTGTTCCACCACTCGCGCGCACAAGAAAGCGATGCTGACGCAGAAATCAAAATGGGAACAAGATAGGAGATGTGGTCATCTCGCTCGTGACAGGATAAATCCCAAATAGTCAGAGCATTCTGCCCAGTTCCAGCGGAACAAGGTGGAGTTTCTTTCCCAGGGAAATCAGTTTGATTGTATTTTGCTACCTGTTGCAACCTCTTGCTTTGTCGCAATGTCTTGTGGGGTGCTAAAAAACCTATCGTGTGCTAAACATAGAGCACTGTGTACAACTGTTCACGAAAGAGTCGTATTGTTTCTACTTCATCGCGCTTGCATGTCTCAAAAGTCATGTTCGTCCTCGCAAAGCCCAGTCTCAAGACCTGGGCGACGCGATTGGAAGCTAAGGATGCGAAATGAAATCAATCGACACATGGACGTGGCTCAAAACACGCCAACTCTCAGGTTGTCTGGTCGCTTCCAACTTTCACTTCTACTGCCAACTAAGGCAATGGGCTACAAAATGAAACGTCAAAAATCATCAAAAAACTGCAAACTAAGTGGCGTTTTGCCTGCGGCCAACTCTTGCGATTCTTGCGGGGCTCTTCCTCCGTCTTCATGCTCCATGGGCCGTTCCTCAAAAGCAGTTGCTTGCCCCAAAGCTTGACACAAAAAGAACTAGGCCGAATGCATCGGTTCCGATGGTATACTTATGTGCTTCTACAGTAAGAGACTAACACTACAGCAAAACCTACCGCAACAACAACAACAACAAACACATTGAGAACACAAATTCAAGCATCAATGATATGATTCGATTTATAAACCTCACCCCAAACTCCACAAGAAACTGACCCCCAGAACTGGAAAACTGCTTCGCGGTCCAAGCCATGTCCCTGTAAACCTCTAGTGAACAACAACACTGTAAAACTCTGATCACTTCAAAATGCTGCAGGTTTTGACCGATTCAAAGCGGATTCTCACCTCCATCTACCTCCATTTGTTCAAGGCTCGGCAGCACCGCCACATTTCGTACACCAAGCGGAGTCACCGGACCTTTCGAGGAGTCTTGTGACCAAAAAATCTCCTGACATCACACGACATGGGTCTGCTCCACAAGCTTCAAGGACCTCCCTATGTCGAGGCAACTTCAAGTAACTTGTTGTGTTTCGTCCACCCGTTTTGTGGTCGGTGCTCTTTCGACTTCGCGATCTCAGAAAAGGTTAGTGGCTGAGACCAACTGTTCAAAAACGGCTACATGGGGCAGCTTACAGCGACAGCAACTTCGGTGGGAAAATGTCAGAATTGGTTTGGAATGAGTGCAAATTGCTAGTCAAGGTTGAAACACCTAAATTTGGGGTATGGTTTTGTCCTCAGGGACAAAGGATCACATACCAACACCAGGCCGATCACAGTTTCCCGGAAAACGTTCGCCTTTGGTTTCATCGAAGCCAAAAATGCGATCAAAAGTAGATGCCATGGCTGTCCAGGTTCAGCGCTATGTGTATGCTCAAATGCCAATGAATACTGCAGAACAGCCAATGTGTATTTGGATCCAAGCATGCATTTCTCAACAGTGTATGTCTCTAGACAAGCTCCGTAATGGAATAGGCTCATTAAGAACGCAAACATGTTGCATCCATCTGCTGTGGCCAGATCGATGAGGTTGCATCAGTTGCACCTTTACAGAATTATGTATGCGTATGTGTATATAATATATATATACAGTAAAGTAATATGTAAATATGTGCATGTACCACGGAGACTAATGCAAGGCTGAAGTCCAAAAGCCTGTCACTCGGCAGTCAAACTTGCGGAAACAATCACTGTGAAATGATCAGGAACACATCTGAAATCACCGACATAGTAGCCCCCAATCAAATCCTGGCCACATGGTGGATGCTACAGTCTTGCGTAGACTACCCTGCAGGAGGCACCAGCGGCCACCCGGCCCACTTCGAAAGCTCTTTCCGCTGCAGTTCCGCAGGCGCAAAAGAGTTGTGGCCCGTTTGGCCATGGGTGATGGGGATCTCGTGGTGGGAAGCCGAGGATCCCGGTGCATTAACGGAAAATACAAGACCGGGCAGAGGCGTCATTGAGACCAGGCCTCAAAATGACACAACCTCTGAGAAAAGCCAAGATGTGCTCAGCATCAGACCTGCTCTTCTCTTCGGCGTCTTTCATCCTCAATGGTGCAAGGTTGGCCGATTCAAAGCTGGCAACTATAACAAATGCTCAGGGCCCGGGCCCTCTCCAGTAGAGTGCGGCCTTCCTTTTAAGGCAAAGAGAAGCTCTGATGTTGGGCTGATGGGAAGTATAGAGGGGTTACGGTTGTCCTAATTCCTGCTGAACCACAGTGGACCATCCAGTAAGGGGATGGTCTAACACAAATCTCATCTGGTCCCCAGGTAAAACACTGATTAAGAGAAGCATCTACTCAGGATGTTGACCTGCAATCTCGTTGGACAAACCCTGGTATTAGGGCTGAATGAATTCTGCAGTCCTGGCCTCTGAATCAGGTGTTGCTAAAGAAAGCGTGCTTGCAAGAGAGGCTTGCACAAACAGAAGTATGGAGCTTGCTTGCAATTGAAGCTGTACTAATGATCGAGTCTGGGTCCAGTGATCTTCCAAGTGCCTTCGATCTTTGCAAAAAAATAAAAGAAACGCCTCCGCTCCAATAAAGTAGAAGTCAAAAGTCTCATCCTTAGCGAGCACTTCGAAACGGCGCCAGGCGGGCCGGTAGGGGTGCTAGTGACATGACTGTGCAGCCTTTGTGCACCAGGATCCCGGCTTGATCAATAGTTTCGAAGTGGGATGGGCGTATCATGCCTGCAAATCACAAGTCATCTCTCAGATGCACAATGTAGAAAGCTGGAGAAAAAGCAGAAGTGGCCTCTTTTCAAGCTGAAGAGGAGAGCCTTGTGGTTCGATTGCTAATCGAAACTCTAGACGTTGTGTATGCTTCAATTGCTGCATTAACTGGGGCCATGCATCATCACTCGGACTGCTGGGTTTTACCTGCAAAGCTTGATGTGCAGATTGCAATGTAGAAAAAGAAAGAAACGGAGATCCGTCCATGGAACCCTGCCATGCTCTTCTTCAAGTCCATCACAGTTGTACCTCAAGAGCAACCCCTTTGAAACAAAAGTGGGGTCCCGTTCTTTCCTTTCAGAACTTCGCTAGAGACCATCAGAATGCATGGATCAAGCAAAGCAATGACAATAATTCAGCCTTTGGGAATTTTGAAGATGTGACTCCACTTTTCTTCTTTATGTCTGAAGACCTTGGAGTTCCAGTTGAACAGCTGCTGCTTCTTTTCATGCGCATCACTAGTCCCTCACTCTCTGCCCAAGGGCATGACCACACAGACTGACACGTGTTCACCCTGAGCCTTGCAGGACATCGTGTGACTTGCAACGCCCTCCTTGAGCCACCAACCACCCACGCAGAAACCACTTAGACTCACTAGACCTGCCTCACTCTCCTTGATTTCTTCCACCTTCGTCTCTGGAGCCTCGCACAAACCGCACGGCAGCAGGTCCCTGGAGTCTCCCTCGTTCGATTCCACCGGGCTTCGGGCCACTGGTGGCGGTGGAGCAACTGACAGTCATGTTCCGCAAGGCTTCGACTCTAAACAGCGTGGTTAGCAGCTTCTTGTTCCTAGTAGCGATGCCAGGAGCCCCTAGTAGCGTCCTTGCTCCTAGTAGTAAGGCCAGGAGCCCCTAGTAGCTTCTTGTTCCTACTTTGGAATGGAATGGATCTGCAACTGGTGATCTGTTGCAGAAACTTGGAGTCCCTGCTTTTCGCCAAGTATTCCTCCTCACTTAGAGTGCGCCTAGCACCATCAGTAAGCTTGACCCACAGTGCGCATGTGCACTTCCAAAAGCACTATATCTTGAAGTCTTTGGCCTTCCCATCATTCTTTCGTTGGTGTTGTACCTCACTAAAAGAGCCACATGCCAAGTGTGCCAGCTTCTCTCCAAATGATTCGTTGTCTGCGCTTGCCAGGCACCCGACTGATGCCATTTCGTCGCACAGTGCTCTCGGTACGCCTCAGAGCTTCACATCGCGGCGACCGTCTGAGACGCGCCTCGCGCGCCTCCCGGTCTGGGCTCTCGTAGTCCGGGCACGCCATACATTTGATGGACCTCGTAGTCCGGTGTACTCAGTCTGGAGGAATGAAAAGACTCTAGACTCTATACATCTCTATACCGTATATGCCAAACGGTTCAGTCTAAAAATATGTTTGGTGAGCGCCAAGCAGGCCAAGCACAGCTCTCTCAGATCTTTGACCCTTTTTGTTGCCGCATCAAATCTCCACAAATCCACGTAGTGCCGCCTTTGAGCTGCTGCAGGACCCATCCTTTCCTTGGTCCACTTAGGTCTTGGAGAGACTAAGCGAACAGTTTTGAGACAACTTGAACCTAATTTGTGCAAGTCACTCAAAGTCATTGAACTCCACCTGCAAACGGGCAGGAACACCTCGTTTTTGAGCAAACACACCCAAATACAAACTCCTGGTCATTCTTCCTTCAACCACAATGTTCCATCAGTGTGTCATTCTTTCTCAAAAAGAATCAGGAATTCAGCGAATAGCCTGGCTCGCTGCTCCTGAGAAAGTAAACAGTATATCTTTGCTCTTCTCAAGCCCATCCACAAACACAAACTGGTAAATCACTAAGAAAGGGTGAAAAACTAGCAACTGACAAAGACATTTGGAAGCCGGCAGCCAAAACTGCTGCACTTGCCACTACATGGACCGGTGTATGGCAGGGTGTGGACTTCTTGACAAGTTCATAAGCAGGTGACTCATCCCTTGGTCCTCATTTTTCTGCGATACTTGCACAGTGCGCAGAAGTGGGTCTAGCAGAAGCCTGCAAAGATCCTGCCAACCAAATCGGCATATGTTGCGTGAGGAGACCCAATCAGCCCACTGGGCGAATCTACTTCTCCAACGCCACTGGGTCTGTGTTTCCGAGGCGCTGAGTGGTCTCAGTGCTCTCAGACACCCCGCCAGCACATGCCTGCTTTTTTGCAGATGCTGTGTTGCTCGAATGTTGGTACTGCACCAGCATCCGGGTCTTCATGCACGGTGTCCTCCATGACATCAGCTCGGAGCTGTGTAGCCAGTGGATCCTTGGGGAAAACCACCAAACCATCTGGGCAAAGAAAGTCATGTTTCACTCTTTGGGTTTCCGCATCCAAACAAGACAACCTTGTTGATGTGGAAACTTTCATCCGCTTCCCTTCCAGGTCATCAAGACAGCCTTTGATAACCCATCAACCGATTTTGATCTCGGCGCCGCGCCCTCTGATCGATGCCCATTGCTGGTCCAGGGTTGAGCTCTATGAGCCACGGCCGCAAGTCCTGCAACTGGAAATTCACGTTTGTGTCACCAGTCCCTTTGGAGGCTTGGAACCGAATTCACATGATTATATACTTGAGTGGAGCTCACAGAAGCTTGAGATTCCAAGCCTGATCCACGATGATGTCAACCTGAAGACATGCCAACTGCGAGCAAAAGCACGGAAACAAAAAAAAAAGAATAAACAACTGGGCCACTAACCCCAAACAGGTTGTAGAGCAAAGCACCTGCTTTGCGCCCCCACCGGAGCCATGAATAAATGTCCTGAAAGGCTGCTGCAAAAAAGTCCGATCCTGTTGCGCTAGATGGAGGAGGAGACTCGTTATGCCTTAAATAGTGTCTTGTCGACGGGCGGTGCAAGATCTCTGCCCTCAGCAGTGTCCTAACTCCTTAAGAGTATCTCTCAAGTGACAAACAGGCTTCGGAGGTATCCACATCCTGAAACCGATCTTGAATTCGATGGCAAACAAGGTCAAGCATGGTGTCATCACGTAGTGTGAAAGGCAGTCTTCCTGACAGAGAATCGCAAACGTACTTTGATTGCAAGTTGACTGGTTTCCTTGAATATGCATCTTGCATACGAGAAACCATTTCCAACTGCAGATGGTCCCAGGATCGCCGTCATCATCTTGGATATTTTTGGCCACACCTCTCAGCATGTCCATGCAAATGTCGTGTTTATGAGCTGCAGCGATGTTCTGTGCTGTAGAGCCAGCGGCCCAATTCCTACAGGCCCTGTGGAGAGTGGCAATCCCAACACCACTTTGTCGGCCTTCTCATAGTGTGGCCACTCAGTACCTCTCCCAGAGATCACACCATCGTACCTGAAATTCGAAAACTTGTTTATGGTTTAGCTTTGGTCGCTTTGGTCTCGATGTCCGAAACACAAAAATTAAAGCAACCTGCTGATCATCTGCATCAAAGAGGCTTCACGCATGACACCACGTGTCGAAGCGGGTCGGCATCTGAAGGATCGTAGGGCTGCGGGTGGCCCTTGAGCAGCAGCTCACGGTGCATGAAGCACCGGCCACCCGGCAAGGTGATTACCTTAGTGCCGTGCTTGTCGAAGTCATGACAAATGCATTGTACAAATTGTAAAAAATACTATTCTCCACAGTGGGATTGAATTCGTGACAATGGCTCAACCCTCTATGTCCAATTCCTATCTCAACCCAGTAATTTGGACCATGGAACGTACGCTCGTACCATCATCTTCCGGCCATCCATCAACATTGGTCGAGGGACTTCTGCCTGCCAGATCTCGCAGCTTTTCAGATCAACCAGAGTCCACTTGAACGATGGACCATCTTCCCCACGAGTTGCGTACTATATATATATATTCCATGTTTGTTGAACAGAAAGTTATTTATAGTTATTCGGACCCCTTTTAGGATTCAGGACTGTCTGGAAGGCCGTTCTGTCTCTATCTATAATGTGTCCCGGAAGTGTCAAAAATCCTGGTTTGACTTTACACTTATGACGCTGCAGTATCCGTTTTCGCCTGAGCAACATAGAGCACCCTCTGGCTTCTAGACATCTTGTCCCAATGCGCCAGCAAGTTCCGCACACCTGCCATGGGGAGAGTGACGGCGAACTCCCGGACCGGTTCGCTTTACTTTGGCCCATCTGCAGCAACCCATGCTCTCCAAGGCACCTTTGAAACACGACACGCCCTCATTGCGATCCATCGTCGAGTGCTTTAGAAACCAAAGTCCTTCCGCCCGTGCATCTGAAACAATCCCTTGCACAAATCCGACGAATTTCACCTTAGATCATTCCACGGTCCTCACCCAAGAGCAACTGCCATGCATTCATGCATACCATTCGTCTGCAAAAGACAAGCTTTCCTTAAAGCGTCGAAGCACCCGAGGCTCCAAGGCTTTCCGCAAAGCCAAAGGGCTCAGGAAGGTCATGGGTGCCAAGGTGTCCAGCTTGATGTCTTTCAAATGCTTCGCGAGTGCTCGCTTCCCTCCCAGACAGCCTGCCGGCACTCGGTTGTGCCTTTCTATGAGCGCTCGAGGTTGCTTCTTTCCAGCAGCCTGGAAAGGGAGAATGCCAAAGAAGATACAAACTCAATACTTTCCGGTCACCGCAAAAATCTTAGAACGCTTTAAAGAACCCAAGCCTCTGCTGGTATGAGAAAGGACATCAAGGCAATCCTGTCTGCTTCAGGTGACAAACCCCTTGCAGCGAATGATTGCTTCAGACCACTTTGAAAATTTGTGGCATAGGTTGGGCCAATCTCCATGATGTCGACAGCAGATGGCAAGCATCTCCAGGGATATGCCAGTTTCAAAGCTTTGTCTGTCTGCCTCTTTCGCAGTGCCAAGTATTGCGAAACTTGGAGCTGCGTTGCAAAAAGAACTAGCACGATGGTGACCAAGATTGCAAAGAGTTCTCCAATCCAGACCATGTTTGGGCTTGGATTCACAGCATGACCTGAGCCATCGAGTAACCCTTGTCTACCCAATTCTAAGTTTAACATCTGTCTTCTCAACTTCACGCTAGGTGCCCCGCGGAACAAAGGCTTGCTCACAGTTGGCCCCTCTTGCAAGAAGGCACCGTGCGTGCCGTGTGGATGATCTTTTTCAAGTCGAAGGATGTCGTTGAAGTTCGGAGCCCATACGCCTCCTGTGCCTGCCTTGGATTCTAACATCAAACCCTCTGTGCGTGTATTCTCGTATTGTCCGGTTTGAGCACTTGACAAACTCAAAAACGCAGATGGCCCTTGGCATCCTTTTGAGGATTGATGAATGGAAAATGAAACGCCAACTGCTAACTCTATGATTTGTCTCTTTGCTGCGGTACCGTGGGATTGGGCTCAATCAAACTATTGAAGAAAAGGTCCACTGGTTGGTACATCTACAATTCACCCATCAGTGGGGCTGAAGGTGAAAGAGCAAGACTGCGTACAGTGTACCCCAAGATCTCCACAGAAAATACCACACCCACTCAGGGGTACGATGTTCACGTACCCTGAGTTTCTACCTCAGCATGTTAAGCTCAGATGCTTCATCATTCAAATGCGTTTCATGCACATTCCTGCTGTTGATGGTCGTAGCAACCTCGGAACACATCTGCTCTGAAAACGAATCCATCACCACTGCATGGCGATCAGAGCATCTGAGGTCATCACAGCATATCGGGCCAAAAGGACGGCTTTCCAGTACATCATCTGTTTCTGTGCGCATTCAGGGGCGGAGCTCACAACTGTCGGTCTGATTCAGTTTTAATGTAGTGTAATTGTGCAAACTACTAAAGGTATGAAGCAAATGTTATTTTCGCAATTGACGCTCCACCCCAAATATGTAACCTCGACTTAGGTTGAGCCAGTATGGCCTCGTGGACACCCACTGCAACACAAGAAAAGCAAATACACCAACTGTCACATACTTCCTTTCGCGGTTTCTCACCTCTTTCTCACTGAGCTCATAGCCCCGACGCCATGTTGGATCAGCAGCGGACAGTTCGGGTTGCGACCCCAACAGTTGCCACTTTCAAAGTTAAAAGAAAAATGAATGCGCTACCTCACGTCCTACGTTCTGCCACCGGCTTTTGGCATCGCTGAGCCAAAGATCCACAGAAGACCAAATCTTAGTGTTCACCAAATCAAATTCTCAGAAAACCGGTTAAGTTGATATGGTTTGTAAGTGCGTATCAGCATGTGAGGAAACAAGTATTGAATAGTCCGACGTTTCATTGTCCTCGTGCCAACCGAAACAAGGATTCGAAAGGACGAAACACCATCGTGGCATCCGGAAATAAAAACAGAAACTCGGCTGTCGGAAAAAAGGATCCCTTCTTGCCCGACTCAGGCTCTGTTCCTCTGGAACCACAACATCAAAGCCAGAAACCCTGGCAATTGTGCTGAGCAGCCCGGATCTTCAGCCACGATGGCTGTACAAACACCCATCAATGTCCATGCAACACAAAATCTTGTGCAAAGCCTTTGTCTCTCTTCTTCGCTCTTAAAAAGGGAGTCCGTTCAAATCAAACGTTTGTGGAATGTGCATCTCAGTTGTTCATTCCAAGTGTTATCTTCAGCCCCTCAAATTTGCGAAAATGTATGCAATCTACCAGCACTATCCCACCTAATTAAACACGACGAGCATGCCACAACTGTTCTCGAGAATTGTCTGTATGCCTGCGCTGCCCTTGCAAAAGGATGCGGCCAGCAGCTGCAAAACTGAGACTTCCTGAGACGAAGTGAAACAATAGAAGACCAGTCATGAAAGAGACAAGCCACAACATAAAAGAAAACGCACAAACAAAACATAAACAACCCAAAACAACCAAACAACAAACCGAAAAACATTTCCAACATCACCCCAGGCTGATAAACAGAAGGAAAAAAAATGTGAAAGGCAAGAACAGGCGCCAATCCGAGTTAAGCATTGCCAAACAATGCCAGGCAATGCCTTTGTGATGCCTAAAGCAAACCCAATCTTCCAACAAACCCTAAAGAAGTCTAGCTTTGAAGCAAGCCCAACCAAACCCCAACCAAGCCCAAACAAACCCTAAAGAAACCAAACCCCACACCAAGCCACACAAACTTGTGACAAAATTCCAAAGAAATCAAGCCCTGAAGCAAGCGCAAACAAAGACCAAAAAAATCAAGCCCTGGGCCAAGCCTAAACAAACCTGATGGAGGGAAACCGGAAACCAGAACCAAACTGTCCAAACCCCAAAAAAACCACGCCCTAAACCAAGCGCCCTTGTGGTCCAAGGTGAGACAATTGAAAGTCCGCAAGAAATCCAGCCCTAAAGCAAACCGAAACCAAACCCAAACAAACCCAAAGAAATCAAACCCTGAACCAACCCCAGCCCCAGACTGAATGTTTCCTTTCATTGCGAATTAAGGTCCGCCCAGCTCTTGTCGCTGAAAAAAACAGAGGAACAAAATAGAAACAGAAAAGCCAAAGAGAAACCTCAAGTGAAGCAACATTTTGGTCACATGGAATAAAAAAGAACCGGCGGAAACAACCCCTGACAAAGTCTACTTGATGACGGGAGAGCCTGCTTTCATGCCAAGGTTTGAGCATTCGAACAGTAGATGTTGGGTCACAGTTTTAATCATTTCTTAGAAGATTTTTGACTTTTTTTTTGCACGGGTGGAGACGCCATGTGTGCAGAGGTTGCACAGGTCAACTTATGCTAGTGAAGTGAGAGTTACTAGCCAGGTTGAGGTGCAGAAAACATCAAAAAAACAAGCAAAACAAGCAACCCAAAAAAGAAACGAAACAAACACAAACCAAACAAACACAAAACAAACAAACAAAAACCACGACCGCGAAGCAACCAGGCCGTATGTAACTCAAAAGGGGTCCTGTAGACCAAAAAGAATGAGTAGGGTGAAACCCGGGGCTGCGAATTAAGAAAAAAGGCCTCTCAGTACTGCTGGACAGTGCAAGCTCTGTTCTTCTTCGTTTGTCATCGTTTGTCATCGTACACACTTCATTTAGTGTTGCAAAGCGGCCTGGTATTAGACCGCTGTGCTGGGCATTGCACTTGGACCATGCTGAAGCAAAGCGTCCGACGTTGTGCAGTTTACTACGAGGCAGGCATTCCCACGGTGCCGAGTCAACCTTGTCCTCTGCAGAAATGAACAGGCGTGTATACGGGAAAACCACTGCGGATTGCTTCCGATTACTCCAAGCATTCGGACAACAGGATTCAGCAGCGCAGCCTGTGAAATATGAAACTCACTGTATGATGGCCGTTGTATTCTGTTGCATTCTGCAGGTAGCCACTCCTCCCCCTAAAAGTGTTTCCTCTGTACGAAGGTGAGACAGGTGAGAAGAGTTGGCTGTAACCTATCTATGGGCCTGAGTTCGCTACGAAGGTCGGTCAGAAGGGTCAGCGCACGAGCGGAGTGCAACGACGCCAGTCAAAAGGGCTTCGCTCCACCCTCAAAACTGTGACCAAACGGCCACTGCATCGAGTGGCGAACGTGGTAATTGGGCGCTTTGCAGGAGCTGCTCTGTTTGTCAGCAGGTCTGATTCTTGCCCAAGGAGATCAGTTGTTGCCCTGCCTAGCATGCCGTGGAAAAGTCCCTTCTCGTTGCACAACCCTTTCAACTGATTGCACGAATGAAGCGAGAGGCATATCAGTGGTCAGGCAGTGGAGGCAGAAGCAAACGAAGAGAGCTTGCTGACTAGGGTGCTGCATTCCCCCCCGAAGGGAGGTCTCCTTTGCACCCCTTGGCATCCAAGAAGTGCCAAAGAGGTATGTTCTGTTCCTGAAAGAAAGAGAGGCGCCAACGTGAAAACATCCTTCTGTTACATGCAAGGCCCGTGTGAAACAGGTGAAACCGTGGACCTATCCTAGCATGGTGCTTGTGCCTCTTTGTACAAAAATGGTCATGGCATGGCCGCCGCAGAGAGAACTAAGGTTCCCCCTGGCCGCCCGCCTTCTGGGAACGAGAAGCTAAGGCTCTCATTCCTGTAGGCTCACTGGATCGTAGATGGTGAGGGCGAAATGGTGACTCTGCATGGGCTTTGTTAAGCCTGGCACGCATAATCGAAGCGGCGGAGAAATGCACCCCCGCTGTTGTCAGAGCGTTGCCAGCCTAGGGTATGCCTTCTTGAAAGTCTTCTCTCCATTGGTCTTTGGCATTTGGCGGCAGGAATCGGGGCCACTTGGGCTTGTCTAGTTGCTCACATTTGTCAAATGCATTGAGCCGGGCATATGTACCTCGCCAGGTCTTGCTTTTCCCTTTTTTACGAACTGCTCGAAGCTGCGTGCAACCTGCAAAAGCACGCCGCGCAATGTAAAGCAGGGATGGTGGGATGCAGACTTCTTGCAGCGAGGTACACTTGAGAAAGGCTTCTTGCTCAATGATTCGTAAATTTCGGGGAAGGCTAAGTTGCTGCAGCTGTGAGCAGTATGCAAAGGTTGAGCCCAAAATTTCAAAGACGTCCGTTTGGGACAAGTCAACAGTTTGCAGTTGCTGGCAGCTCACACAGGCGGCCGATCCTATCCTATTAAAATCTGGCGGCAGGAAGAGCGCGACAATGCCTGCTTCCAGGAAGCATGTGAAAACACGGAAGCGTGTGCGACCCTTTTGCGAATCCCGCTCTTGAGCCAAACATAACAGTCGGTTTGACTGTATGTCTGTTCGTCCTTCTCTTCTCTGAAGAGGTCTGACTGGTCACAGTCGTCCAAAACATACTAAAAGTACAAGAAAGCATCTCCAAACACTCTCAAGCAAAGCTAGGCTATACACAGCTCATCTCAAGCACTACAGCTCTATACTTAGGGCTTCTCTAGACATGCTCCTAGCCACTTCTGGTCACATTCCACTTAGTCCTGCTAAGGTGGTCAAAGCAAACACACTCCGGGAAGGAAGATCCCTACTCAGCTCCAACCCCAAGGACAGAAAACGAAAAAGTTCCACTACAAAGAGGTACTAGGTGATCCACACACTGTACAGGCGTGCTACCCACACTTTTCACACCCCTTCTTGGGTCACCTCGTACCTTCTCCTGGTCTTCCTGTCTTCTTCTTCTCTTCAATTCGTTTTCTCTGAGCAACTAAGGTTCGAGCATCAACTAAGATCTCAACTCCTGTGGTTCAAAATGGTCTCCAGGTCGATCAAACGTCAACGAATCGAGAACAACGAGCTTCAAGCAAGTTCGAATCAAGATCAACCAATCAACCATGCTTCAACCAAGCAAGCAAAGCAACAAGGATTCAAGGTCCCTCAGACAGCAGGGCTTCAAAGAGCTGCACGGAGCCAGCTCTTCGCCTCTGCTTCTGTCATCACTGGGACCCTGAAACCATACAAGGTCTCAAGTGGTCACCTGACAGGTCAAGCAAACGAAGATTCCTGAAGACAAAAACCTGTCACATTCAACGTGCCAAAAGCTTCACACAGCATCAAACAGCAAGTAAAAAGGAAACTAGCCAACCCTTGCTAGATACAATCCCTGTGCTACTGTTCGACTTCCACTGCATGTCTCAAACTCTCAAACCCTTTCTCTTCATTTCAACTGCAACCAATCGACTCGACATCAAATGTCACATGGTCCAAAGTTCACAGCAATCAAAGGAAGCTAGAACCCCTGCTAGCTACAAACCCTTTTCTACTGTTTGCCGTGATCCCTTCGCGCAAATGCAAATGACATCTCTTAATCTCGCAGTTCTCAACCCTTGATCCCTCGTGAGCACGCTTCCACTGACCTCCAGGCCGGTTCCCCCTGGTCAACCTGGCATAGTCAGACATTTCTGTTGGATAAAACCCTGTGCAATCTAGCAAGGTAGTCTCACATCAACTTAACAAGAATCTTCTCCTACTCAAACATCAAAGTTGACAAGACTTCAAATCCCTTCAAAACTGCGTCTCACAAGATCAAATTGAACAACTGCAAATCGAATGGCAAAACCCTCTGAACAATTCCTTTTTCCACCGATGTGGGCTGGCCGCTGTCAACAAAAAAATGGCCTGGTGCAAACTTTCTAGGAACTTACTTCCCCGAAAGCCGCGGCATCCTGACCTCCAAGGTCAAACATCAGCCATTTCAAAGTCATGGCAGATCAGATATCGCCTTGGCCAATTTCAGCCCA